CTGCTCATACCAAGGATTCCTCTGCGGTTGGGTTCATCAATTTTCGACGCGGCTGTCCATGTAACCAGACACACAAACTCGCCTCGTAATAGATCCTTTTCACGTACTAGCAGTAAGCGTTTGAAGTCTTGAAATTCTCAGGCTGGAGTGCCCTGGTACCACCGACGTTATGGTGCAAAGTCTAAAAAGTGCACTCATTCTTGCACATTCGATGTCCAGCAGTCGGGAAACTAGCAGGTCAGCACGTATTGGCGACTAACGTCACTGGCACACCACCTCCATGTCTCCTCTTCTGTGTTAATGACCTTAACACTATGACACGCTTCCTGGTCGACCCCGGGGTGGAGGCTAACGTGTTTCCACCAACAGCTGAAGAGCACCTACTACCAATATCCTAACAGCTCCGCGTCGCAAGTAGTTCGCCTATCACAACGCATGGTAGAGGGTTCCTGGATCTTAACATTGGCTTACGTCGATCATTACGTTGGGTTTTCATCGTGGCAGATGTGACCACCGGTATCATTGATATGGATCTTTTGCGGCATTATTAGTTACTAGAAGATGCTAGAAAACACAAGTTGATCCATGCATCCACAAACCTCTCCCCCTCCAGTGTTGTAATGCACGAACCCTCTTTAAGTCCAGTGTACTCAACAATTACCACTAATGGTCATTACGCTGACGCCCTCCAGTTCTTCGCCAACTTTTTCAAAAGGTTTCCTGTCTTTCATGCGTGACTCCCACTGTCCTTCACCATATAATGAGGACCGAACCACCTGTTTTCGCAATGACATGTCAAATGTCCATGTAGCATTCCCTGGTCTTCACCTCTACATGTGGTGACCAGGAACTACAGGAACCTGTCTTTCTGCATGACTAGTTCAATGTAGTTTGTTCACTTATCAGTACTATATCTCCCAATGTAATTTCAAAAGTGTATATATCCGTGTATGTAGATTATTCGGTTGACGAGTTCTACCGAAATTTGATGAATTCAATAAATCCTGCTTTATTAGCTTTTATTGCTTGTTTTAAATATCTTATTTCAAAACGGATCTTCAGTCAGCTCGTTTTCAAAGACGCTGACGATAGTATGAGAATGATTTGCTGAAAATAATAGTAGCCGTCCTAATCAGATGATATCGTGCAGCAAAACTAGTCTCTGGGATTCGAAATTCATGCTGGTTGAGACAATAAACCTCTGGCAGGCACCCTTCTGATGTTACCTCCAACTGTGTATATTGATTCACATGTAGCTACAGTGGCAGTGACTTTAAGACAGCATACAGTTTGCCCTTAGTCACAATTTTTGACCTTGTACCATAAAGAATGATTAGTGCGGACTTGTCAATAGATAAACACTTGATGGACCATTGACGTCAGGTCAAACATTAGAAGCTTGCAAAATAATCAGCAGACAAATCTTTCGAAGTCTTTCCTAGTTTGCTGAGACAATTGCAATGGAAATGGCTCAAATGTGACCTATGCAATCGAAAAGAAATCTGTAGTGGGAATTGTATTGCCCCAAAAAATCCCTCCTCAGTGACTAATTGTCATCTGATTCAAAGGTTTCCCACCGGACTTATACACGACCAAATTTATGGGGTTATGGTCTGAAAGCGATGAAGTGATCTCTAGTCCTCACTATATAACTGATGAAACTTCTGTGAGACAAACTCAGTCACTGGCTATCCAAATGCAGGAAAAAGACGATCATTCTTCAATATTTCTGCGGTTGTATTAATCAATAATAACATCAAAACTAAAATTTATGTCAACAGTGCTGTGAGGCCACTACGAGGAAATGCGAGTTTCTCATTGCAAAACTAGAACTGTAAGGCAACCTTAGTTAGCTAAAGTTCAAATGTAAAAGGCAACTTAGAATCGAGGAGAATATTTATAACTAGGTGACATCAAAAGCTCTGTCCACAATAATCACCCACCTAGGATCCTGCCAGACAGTCAAGGGTCAGAATGACTTTCGTTCACTGTAACGAACTCACACCGTTAAAGAACACATTGTCGACGTACACACAATCACAAAGGGAAGTATTACAATTCGAGAGTAAACATGGAAAAATCCAAATAGTTCAACGTTTGAATGTCACATGTTGATTTTGTCCTTTATTAATGATAAACAGTCTAAAGGAAATGCGTGTGAAAGTTATCAAGTTAGTTGGGACGTTTAAATAAGTAGAGGGAGGGATTTTGCACATCATTTTCCTATTTCAGTTAAATTATCATCATTTCATTTGTCATCTTCGATACCAAATTTTGATTTTTCTACCTTGTGACTTCTAATCACCGTATTTCATCATCAATTAGTACCCACTTATCTCTAAATTACTGCCATGCTAACGACAAATTTTCTCACTTCTACAAGATAATTCTCTAGATATCACTCGAGAAGTTGACGTTGGTTTTCCGTGTCGTTCTACCAATGTAATTGTTTCCAAATGAAAAGTGGAATTTATAAATGCACATTGATATGGCTGGACTCGGTAGATTGTCCTTCACCTGTATTGAAATTATACCACGGGTGACGAATTGTAAACACAGAGTTGCTGCGAAGAATGTTTGGGCTGTTATTTTTCGTAGTTTTGATGATAGTAATTCAGTTATTGCGGCTCCCTAAAACGGTAAAGTCAGATACTTGAGATGCACATTGGAGTGAGCATGGAAGATATTGACAAAATGAGCATTTCAAGTTTCTCAGTCAGATTACCTATTTGGAAGTAGACAATCCCATAGACATCGTTGATCTTAGCTGATATTCCCTTCCATCATTATTTTAAAACTAAATTACTTTGTGTTATTGAAATAATCATCGTCCTGTGACTTATAACATTTACACGCTCAATATTTTGTTGTTTTTTCGTTTGAAAAACTTCGCTAATAAAAAATATGCACACAATAACTCTTTAATGTGTACCGACTATTTGCTTTGATATAAATGGTTTTATGTGTTTGTGTGTACAGCTTTCGAAAATAACTTACAAAATTCGACTATTGTAACAAAGGTGATTTTATATGAAATGTGATGGCATTAAACCACTATGAACGTACTATGATCACTCTTTAAATAAAATTGCGTTAATAATTTTTATCAAAAATTCATATTTATATAAGCATGAGAAAATAAGTGAATATTTCCAAAGGCTCACATTCGAAGACAGAAGTTACTTCATGTAAGTGCGAATTACAAATATATCCATCGTGTTATTTATTCCAAAATGCCAATTATTATGGCGAATATACTTAACGTACAAAATTTGATACACACATTCGTGACAATTATTCTCGTTAAGCAGGTAAAATAATAGTCAGGTTTAAAGTAGCCTTTCTGAACTCCCCACTGGATGGTGTTTCTCATAGACAGTAAATCATCCATTTCCGCAGAAACTTAATTATCATTATTATAACTTCTGCTTCCGCGTGGAACAAAAGGCTTCAGCAGCATATCTCCGTTATGGATAAAATTTTATTTTGATAAATCACACAGGTTTGTACAGTAATATTTAATGTGATTAGTGAATATAACTGTACAACACCGTGTGATTTATCAAAATGAAATCTTATCCATATTGGAGTCATACTCGACTGCCGTGCTCACGTTTGATACTTCTATCAGCAGCTCTCCGTTTCATTCCTCTTATCTCCTTCACATCACAAAATCGCCTTCGATGTCAACCTCGAATTCATGTCCAACTCACCGGTTCCTATTCAGGTTCCATTCAAGCGATAGACGGGAGTTTGGCACCTCAGTCATGACTTGAGTGTATTCAAAGCGGAAATAAGGTTGTATTGACATCGCTTACTTGATTGAGGTATATCCATCCATAAGAAAAATAGATATCTTCCTCTTGAAACTGATAAAGAATTGTGAATCTAGTGTCTGGTAAAATTATTAAGTATTATTTTTCAAAATACTATAGCTTTTGTATTTGTGAAAATCCACAACTAGGATCATATGAGATTTCTGGTCTAATTTCAGGGAATAAAATCATGTCAATTTCTGAAGAATATTTAACGCTGTTCGAAACGTCTAAGAATAAGCTACTACGACGAGATATCCCTTTCAGATATTATATCTGGGTAAGCATATCTTCTATGATTTGTTAGAGAGATTGTTTCGTATTTCTAGATTTTGATAGATGCCGTGTTTATGATACTGACGACTACAGCTGTACTCGTTTTGTTTACCAAATTGTAGGATCGAATTACCATTGTGAATACTTAATATTATGTTGATTTGCAGGCAAATAATTTCTAGTTTCTTTAAGCATCATTTCTATTTGACGTTTGTTATTGGGTAAGTTCCCTGCTCATTATTATATATTTATCCACTATTGAATTAACTCCCAGTACAAATCACCAAAACAAATTCACTTATAATACAGAAAATTTTGATGTTAATAGTTGAAACATTTCGGAGAAATTTCAAACAGTACTATTATGTTTCTTGAACTTCATAGAAAAGAAAACCTTTGAATATAGATTGAACTTATTCTGCGTAAGAGGAATACGACTTCAAAGCGTCTTGTACTAGATCTCAGTATTTCCCAGTTGCTTATCTTAATTATTAACTTTAAGTAATATATTTAGTGATTCGTTTCCTATTTGAAATCACGATTGTTTTCCAAGGCTTAGCTTTCAGGGATTATTTGCTGAATAAAATAGACTAGCGCTGCTCGTAAAATGTGCCGGAGTGTAAAGCTGACCTTCGTAGATTACTTTGACCAGTATTGCGCAAAGTGGTCTTAGTTCCATGTACCTTTTATTATGTTTAGTAATCTACTAAATGCGTTCACTTTCCTTCCTAATCAGTTAATATTGTGTGAATAATACTACCGATAATTTAGGAGGTATTATGTATGCGACTTCTAAAAATTCAGCAGTGATCGTTGGCAAACTCGACATCTTCATACTTGAGACTTTGTAGGCTGTCTGGTGTAATTACTGGTATGCTACCTTATACCAGGCGTTGTTAAACGTAATATACTGAATCGCCGACTCAGTCAGTACACAACCTGACTAATACGAACTGGCAACAAAATACAAATACAAAAGATTCTGTTATTCGCACATGTCTTCCGATGACCGACGTATTCAAATAAAGCTGCAACACTATTTTCTGCAGAATATGACGGTACCATCTTTGTATATTTCGTTGAATTCTCATCAGTCACTTACAGCCTACAGAAACTAATAACTTTGTGCACAGAACACTTTAATGTACTTTCAAATAATACATGATGTCAGTAAACAGGGGGACAGAAACTCAATAAACAGTGCGAAAAAATTACACCTTTATAGTTTATACCTGGAGAGTTCAAGTTGAAACAAAATCTATTAACAATAAATAGTGTAACGCCAGCAAAAACAATATCGTTCTGTTTTTCATTCATTGTGAAATACAAAGACCTTTATTATAATGAAAAATCAGTCTTTGTTTACAGTGATAAAGGAGTTACACACGAAATATAAGGGATGAGAAAGAAGACAAGTAACTAATAAAAAGAGTAGAAATGATGTGAGTTCAAATCAGAAAACAGAAAGAAAAGACAAACAAAGTTACACTTTATCAAAGCACAGAGTGGTTAGAGCCAAATAATCTTGCAATCAAATGAAATAGAGAATAAAAGAGATCCAGTTACCAGAGCTAGAAAAGACTGACAACTGCTTGTTTGTGGAAACTTAAACCATTTCTCAAGCATTTGATTGTGATTGTTTCAGTTAAAGCCTGGACAACTGAACAATTTTTTCCGTTGATAATTTTTAAAGATTTCATAATGTTCACTTCAGGACCCGTATTGATGGGATGTATCCAGTTTTACTATCGTCAGCGTCTGCATCTTTGAAACGCAGGCGTTTTGATGCACGTTTAGAAAACTAAAAGTGTGTCCTTCTTTCTGCCATATGAATATTTTTATCACCACAGATATATTCGAATTTGTACACACATTTATAGTTAGTTAGCGAGAAAGATTTGGGAACAAATATGAGTTGTTCGGCTGAACCATACATTGTCAAGATCCTAGTGTTATCAGCAAAAAAGAGAGTGGAAAATGGTGAATGAGTGTGGTCGGATGCTCAAGTATTAAATTAAACTCAAAATACCAAAAGCATTCTCAATTATTTGGATGTTGGTTAGTCTAATTTACTGGTGTCTGCAAATTCATTTCAGATTTGTCGGTGTCATTCTACCAATTCCAATCATAACTATGACAAACTTCTTGTCAAACGTCTTCTGTGTTCATTTGCTGCTTGGAAGTACAGTAAGTGTCAATTTAGTTGTATAACTATGCAGTTAAGCAAACTTTGCGCTTATGTTTACGAAAAAAGGAAATGCGCAGCTATATCATGTTGCGGAAATTTATCCGTATACAATGTTCGACAGTCGACCCTAGAGCAAGTACATTTGAACCTATTTGAAACTGGTTTGCTGGATGTACTTGCATTCTCCAGTGAGCGATGGTGTTCCTAAATAGCTAGTGTCGATTACCTATGATTTTAAACGTCAAAGCACTGACCACTATACCTCCAAGTCCAAGAGGTTCACATCTTTGAAAATGGACTTCAGTTATTATTCGTTTTTAGGACAATCGTAGTTTTTCTGTTGATTGATGGCACGGAAATGTCCGGCACCTAATACGTACGGTTCAACGATAACTGAGGGTTAATTTGAAGTGATTTGATAAATGGTGATTAGTAGAGGAATTCAGAGTATGCTCAGTTCATCGTATTTAGGGCTGGTCAACTTGATTCACCTGCACTCCGTTTTGAGTGATGATATTTCCAGTTAATCGACGGGAATATGATAATTTACTTAAAAATAAATTATTTATGCCTGTTTGAGAATTCAGCTTGATCTCGTCTATTGTTAAAAACACGCATCACTCACACCAACCCGTAATGCTTACTTGCTAGTACCGTATAAGTAACCTAAACACGAGGCAGTTGTTTCACTCATTTGAGATCCAGCTTATCGGCCGTGAATGAGAAACCAAAAAATGTCACAAGATTGAACTATTTCAAGGTATTTTATTCTTCACGTAGCTTCTAGTTGTTAAACAATTATTTTGTCCTCAATTTTACTCGTTGTAGGTTTTGCTGTGGTCTGTGAGCTTGGCTGCTGGCTTTGGATCTGTTGACATGTTCCATGGATTGATATCACTGATTTTGACAATTGTGATTACAATCACGACTGTGGGGTTGGCATTGAAATTACCATCAATGGATGATAATCAGTTGGTTGTCTTTACTACAATATCATATACCATTTTGATTTTATCAACTATCTTGATAATATTTAATGTCACCAAGCAACCAAATGTAAGTTTATCTACAAATGCACCTAATTTATAAAACTCTGTTCAACCAATGAATTTCCTCGTTATTCTATTAAATAGAATTCGGTATTGATAGTCTAGAAACAATCGTTTGAAAGCTAGTGAATTCCGGATTCCAATAAATATTTTCCAACACCAACGACCAAATGGAACCTGTCATCCATTTTATTGTACTTTGATATATGTGAACATATAAATCACTCATTGAAAACTGCGAATTCAGCCTTAATGCGATAGGGAATTGGAAGATGTTGAATCCGGACTGCATAAAAAGTGATGCAGGAACAAAATCAGCTACCATTTCAACGACAATTCAGTGGCTCGTGTTGCGATTGGCAAATACTCAGGCTCTTTAGATATTTATAGCACCCTACTGACATTTAAAGGATTTGCTAACAGCTATAAGATATGTGACTTCAATATAAACAACTGGGTCACCACTGAATGTTCATGAGAGGGTTATACGTAAATTAGTTATTCAATAAATGAATGTTAGCAGCATTCACACGCTTTAAACTATTGAAAATGAAGATATTTTGGTCCATTGTATCCAGCATTTATTAGTGATGACTGTGGTTCGAAATTAAGATTACTAGTACCAGCATGACTGTAAATCTCTTCCACTATATTAAAGGACGTTTGAGACTTTACGATAACTCTGAAGGTGCTGATTTTGAACCCAATCGGTTGCGTTTCGTTGAAGATTCTTAAACTGCGACAAAATGGCTGTTCAGTACTTTCCAGTTTCTCAACGGTTCGCTAACCTGTAATTATGATACGTCAATATCAATAATTATGTGAGTGTGATCGCTTTAACAAAACGTGAGTATACCTATCATCTGAAATTGCCATCTTTTTCTGTTTGTTATAGACACCAATCTTCAGCATTGTGTCGGCAATCATCTTTGGATTATTCATAATCTGTGTAAGTTTATCCGTGGGCTAAATTCGGTTATATTTTTACTTATGCGACAACCGTAATAGTCAAGGGTTCGTTTAAGACAATTCAATTTGTTTCTTGTTTAACCGCAAATTGGTAATGCGATACAGAACCAGTGAAAACAGAGGAAAATCGGCAGCTGCTTCGTTTTAGTTCAATACCTACGAATTAGTGGAAGTTCGAATTTAGTGAAGTCAACTGAATAATTTATACCCTAACGTTGTCACCATCATTATAGGACAATTTTCTACAGTTTTCAACACCAATTTAAAATTTATGCTTCTACAAGGTCAAGAGACTTGATGTGACGTTTCACTAAAAGTTTTTAACGGGTAAATGAAGACTCATCAATAATTACTCACTTTGTTCCATAATGAGAATTAAATGGCCACCCAGAACGGATAGGCAGCAGGCAATTTTTGCGTCAAGGCAACGAGAACATCTTATCAAGCTATTATACCGAAGGAAATGGAGGCAAATTAGGTACACACACAAAGGAATCTTTAAAGTCATTGTGTGCCTTGGCACCACTCAAGTAGAATAACGATGGGAAGAAGCGAGTTGAGAGGTAGTTCAGAATTGATACTCAGGAGATGGTGTGAAGTGGAGGAGTTGGGAGATTGTGAGGAATACTAAAGCCTGGTGAGTGTGACTACAGAGAACTGGGTGAACTGTAGATGAGCTGTTCAACTTGAAATCCAAAGGAATAATAATAATCGAGCTGCGACAAACCATCATACTGAAAAGTACTCATATATGAATCCAGATAAGTGGAAACGGCGCAAGCTATTCAAAACAGAATTCTTTTGTAGCCGCAGCTTGTGATATGTATACAAGCAGTCAAGCGGAAAAATATGCATCAGAAATGACTTACCGTTTGATAATGAATCCGTAGATACCATAATGTTGGATTATTTCTTCAGGTTTCATTCTGTAAATTAGAATATATATCAGTGTAATGGACTCTCGCAAATGTGTTTACTGATTACTATTGAATATGAATTTCAGCCAATGTATTCTGCCTTTGCTTTTTCTCTTTGCATCACTAGCTAATATTTGGCTTTATGAACAACTTGGACCTGGTAGTATGGTGGTTTTCACCGTATCCATCGCAATTTGTTGAGGCTTTTATCCTCTGGTTACTAGTGTGCTGCCTTTTCGTCATTGTATATACTACTTTAATGTTGCCTAAAATATGGAACAAATAACAGGAATTATTTGTTTGTTTGATATGCCTGAGAGTGGTGTTAAACCTGGTGCTTCTGAATCATGATTTGATATTTATAATTTTATTGGTGAAATAATGTTAATCATGTTCCTTTTCTGTGACGTCATATGTCTTTTTGCTTGCATAATAACCGCTATTCTGTTAAAGTAAATAAAACATCTTAAACATTAACAATACACAAGTAAAGATGTAATCATTAAAGAGAATAAATTTGCATGTACGATTGTTTCGCACTTATCACTGCTGAAATGAATGTTCAGTGAAAGAGCTTATACACTCCAATTGAATTCAGACTTCTTATGAGTTCAACAAATTTTGGGAAATCCTTTTTACTCGACTGAGCTATGGATGAATTTCTACAGTAGACAAATGATCACCAGATATTTGGAGGACAGACTATCACTTTGAGCGAATTGCTCCTCTCCAGCTAGTTATATTCACGGCACAAGACTCATTTTCCATGAGCATCTCTGAACATTACCCACCATAATTAGCAAGAGGAGAGTTTAAGACAAATACCCGCTCAAACGTTGAGGACTTGGTGTACACAAGCCATGGAGCTCCACCACATTCGTCTTTTGAGATTGGGTGGTAATGGTGTAATGTGTATGCTCAAATTTTGAGCCCTCGGGCTTCAAACATAAGGTGGATAGTATAATAATAGTAATAAATATAATAATAATATAAATATGAACATAATAACAATTCACACATATCAAGGCCGGAATGCAATGAGTGAATGATATTCACAAGAAGGATTTCCCCCACATACCTAACTAAAATGCTGAGTAGAATTCATCATGTCATACTCACAACTGACTTGTTCAAGCTTAAAAGCAGTTTTTATTTTATGAAGAAACGACATTAAGTGGTATCGAACATTACTCAGTCAATATACTTTTGATAGGAATAAATGTTATTGCAACTGTGTTGAAGGGCTTTTATTCAAATAAAATGGGTTACAAGATTTTTAAATGTTGCTACATAGGTGATTTAGCACAATGGCTCTGAAAATAGATCTACTTTTATCAAACATCAAAATTGAAGTGATACTAACAATGAAGAAATTGCAAAATTGGACTGCAATCAATTGAATAAATAAAATTAAAAAAGTCTCGAAGTATACACACTAATATACAAAGAAAATAAACACAGTTTCTGTTCAGGGAAGAAATATCTCTTCTCAATGCCCTCATTTCCAAACTCTAAAGAAGTATTTATATTACGGAAATATGGCATTAATTGACACTATAAGTTCCTCAGTCGATAAACATATGATAAGATTAAAGATAATCAAAATGATGCATTGAGAGGGTAGACGTGAACCGGATGAATAGCAAAAATTTCAAAAATTATTAAATAAGTGAATTGGTATATGGATTTTAAAGGTTGGTCGAGTAATGTCAATAAAAATAAAAAGTACGATGATGATTACTTTAGTAGTGGAGAGGAATGAATTCAAGACGTAAAATATTATAAAAGAAGAAGGAAAATATGTATGACAAAGGTAAAGAAGAGGGTTCAACAAAACGTTTTGAATATATAAAGCTAGTCCTTCGACAATGCATAAGTAGAGAAATCATAAGATTTTGGAACGGCTGGGTTTGGTCCAGTAATTTTGAAGGATAAATCACATGGGTCTGAATGACGCAACAAAGGAGACGTGAAATTTCGAGTGATTTCTCACAAATAGATTCGAAACCTTGAAATGTAAATTATTATTGATTCTAAGAGATTTGTTGTATACAGAGATCTGACTTTTCTGTTTCAATGGCCAAGACTACAGCAATACAGATGAGTCAGATAGGTAGTTCGTTGGTCAAGGCACTTTTTCCTTTTAGGTAACTTAAAGGACTGAGGCTGCAGAGTTAGGATAATCGTAATCAAGCAGATGTGCAGTGACCGTGCTTCTTAATGCCTGACTGCCACCACTTATTAACTATGCATGATATTGTTCTTGTACCTTTTCAGAGAAAACCTAAGTCAAATGAACGATATGCCTAGCTTCACACGAGCGAGTGAATTATCAAACGCACATATAAATGGACAACTGCAGGATATTGTCCTTCATGGATTTGAAGAGTATTGGTCGACTAGAAAACGCTATTCTCAACAATGCACCGGGTAATGTCCATTTTAAGCACTGTAAAATCCTTGTTTTAATGATGCTGAATGGTGGGCTGCCTTTGAATTCGAAGCTAATGTACAGCATTTTCTTGGTTACGGACGTAAGAACACTTCTTGTCGGTTTTCACTATATGTTTTTTCCGCAAAGCCTGGTGGAAATCAAATAAATTATAATTATATTTCAATAGTTGACACACAGTGATAAGTTTTTACTTTTGGTAATTTTTCCACACTGCTGAAATTTTTTTACTAATACTGAGTGATGAAAATCTATTCTTCATTCAGATTTTAATTAGAAGATTTGATAATTCTTCTCCATCATCTGGACTACATATATGCCAAGGGGGCTAGCAATTGACCGGATCAGGTTTCGATTTCCACAGTGTCTACCCAGCTGTAGAAAACTGTCAGTATATATATTTGCATATGAAACATATGGTTTCCATCAATGAAACATTTCGAAACAGGGATTCTATATCTAAATATCACATATGTTTATTCTAGGCATTTTTATCCTGTATAAAATTGACAGGCTGGAAGGTGTCATTAAGGTATCAAAAGGTATTTCTCCCTCGACGGTTCCAAGGATTTCAGCTAACCACTTCAATATGGGATGGTAAGATGATACATTCAAGATAGTGTGAGTAGTGGGATAGCTTTGCGTAACTCACACAAAGCACATGAAACGTTTCCTGATGACCATTCAAAGTTCGTATTTAACTACTTTGCAGGCGTTTTATTCCATTTGCAGTTAGAAGCCCTATTCATGGGTCCAAAATTTTGCGAGGTCAACCTAAATGCCTACACACATCATACTCTTTGTTAATCTGAAAACTTAATAACCCAAACTAATGATGTAACTCCAACGTCTGAACAGGAACTAAAGCGAATCAAATTAACAATAATCCATTTTTGTTAGCAATATCTGAATACAAAGCCAAAAGTCTACAACCACCAAATAAAGCAGCATAGAGAAGAATTAAATCAACTAATAACCCGTCTAGAGCTGGCAAAGTTTTCATAGACAGAAAAGACTACACAGACAAAATGAATAACACAGTGTCGAATAAAGCAAACTTCTCGCAAACAACCGATGAAAAAGTAAAACGGAACAGATAAAAAACAACTCACTGATGCCCTTAAAAGAATGAAAATCAAACAGTTATTCAGTCATGAAGTTTATGATAAGATTCGAAAGACAGGATCAATAATACCAAGACTATAAGGTTTACTAAAAGTACATAAAGCCAACCTCTCACTGGGTCTAACGCTATATATATATATATAAGGTTCCCCGTACCATTCAGTAGCAAAACAGTTAGCTGATATTTTTTTCAACCTGTACGAAAACAGATGTGCCACTATTTGCTGACGGACAACTTTCAGTTTGTCGACTATGTACAAAATATTGTTCATAATATAATTCAGATATTTGAACGCTAAGAGCAGAACGTCAATTTATTCTTAATTCTGTAGTAAAAGATTCGGAAAAATATTCAGCATAAGATGTCGTTAGGATACCGTTTGTTACCACAACACTGGTCGATTCCTGCTGACTACTTATTTTTAACAATACTCAAAAGTCAGCCCATAGTCAAAACGTTTGAACTATAATCTTAGGAGTTTCAAGGAAAAAATTCTCTGAACACTTATGAAAAATACATTTTATGTTGAATGTAATTGTTATTAATGAATTAGAGGGACTCTGATCAACTCTAATAACAAGAAGTAGTGAAATAATGTTACTGTCTTCAGGTGATGAAAATAAAAACGTTCAGTCTCTTTTACTCTCCACTTATGAATCTCACGTGGCTTCACACTCTGAATGATTTCGAACTTTGTACTCTTAAAGTGTACAAAAAAATTATCAGTAAATGTTAGTTAATAGAATAGTGACTTATTATTCCAAATATCAACTTGAACAAATAATTCGTTTGTTATAGAGGAGATGCAAAGTCTAATAGTAAAAAAATCGGCATCTGAATAAACTTGATTGGTGTGCACAAAAGTAGTTTTCATACTGACACTACATTTAATAAGGATTCAAGAAGGTCGTTAAAAGTTATCTTAAAGCATAAATAATATTTAAAATTACAAATATTGTTTAAATAAGGATTGTTCCATACATGGGAATATTCGGCGTAAAATGAATTACACAACCAGTGGTAGTAGGAAGTATGACAAGCTACCGCATAAAATCACAGAAAATTCGTCTGTCATACCACGCTTTGTTGAATAAGGCTTAATAATCTGAAGTAGTTGATCAAAGCCGAAAGTGACACAATATTATTTACTGATAACATTTTGAGCACAATACACTGATCATTGTCGCATCAAGGCATTGAATAAATTTTGAACTTCGCTTTTATTTCATATCCTTGTGCTTCACTGGTGGTAATATTTTTCACGTCACTTGGTTTCCTATTTTGCCATTAATGTGGCACGTGTTACTTAAGGATTCGTGGAAGAAGGATTCACTGACCGAAATCTCCCTCCACCTGCCTGCTGAGTGAATAATCGTCTTACCAGTAGGCCTGAAAAGTTTTGTGATACCACGTGCCTCAACGAAAAAAAACATTAAAACAAAGAGGTTAATTTCCTGAGTTCCAACCATAACCAAATGAATTTTGTCACTACATAAATATTTATAAATTTTAAAAAGAGGATGTGAATAGAACATAGAAGTAATGCTGGTATAGAGGAAAGGTTGGGGATGAGGCCAGCAACCCCATCCTGTAAAATAAACACTGCTAAAGAAACTTCAAGCCATTAGCTTGAAGCCCCATGTTTCACTGGGGAACGTGAAGGAATAAAAAAAATCCGTGCTCATGATGTTCAGATCCATTTTTATGTCCAGAAGTATATAGTTGAAGTAAAACAGGAGATTTCTTGAATATTTTCAAAGTATGGCTGATATTCACTTGCGTTGTCAACAGATAAATATATGAGAGATGACCATATATATATCATTAAAGAATAATAATAATTTGCTTTATTCCAAAAACAGTACTAGTGATACAGTGTGGAATTTTCAGAACATATCTACACTATTTGCATCTAATTTTATCCAACGTTTAAAAGGAGTATTTTCAAAAAAAATAAATATAAAGACAACAACAGCAAAAACACAAACACAAAAACAGAAAATAATTTTTAAAAAATGCGAAAAAATATCAAGAGGTAGAAAGGAAAATAAACAGCATATAATAATATCTCAGTATTGGGTAGTGGAAGCTATGATGTGATTATGCATGGTGACAGTAA